AATCCACTCGTCGTGCACCATCCAACACCATATTTTCCTTGGAGCTATGAACAACACCGGGCACACACTCCTTTGCGGCCGTCCACGGCATGCGCCTGCGGTGAGAATCCGGAGAAAGTCCCATTCCTTTTGTGCACAAAGTCATGGAGCTGACGCCGTTACGCGCGTCCCGGCGAGGGCAACAACAGCCCGCCGCAGCACTCACGAATGCCCACCTGTTGCCTCCTGTGCAAAAAAAAAAAAATAGACATTGGAGGGAAAAGCGCGCACAAATGCCCTGGCAAGAAAGGTCAGCACCAGCGGATGAACACTGAAGCCGTGGGTGCATGCTCCACAAATGTCCTTCCTTTTTTAGCCGCATTCTTAGTTGCATGGGAATGAATTGCAACCGCACACGCGAGAATACAAAAGCAAAAGGCGAGCAGCGCAGCCGTTGAAACACACACACGCGTATCGTATAAAACGCCTCATGGAGAGGAACGGAATGCAGGAAGAAGCGCACACAATTCCCATGGACACCCGCAATCGTGTGTAGTTGCATATTTCCACTCTTTGGCCCTCGATGCGTTCCTTTGCGTTTCTCGCCCGTGAGTCCTACTGCCGTGGGGTGCCAAGTCCCTGCAAAAACACACCTCAGGACGCGGCAACGAGGCTCCCCAGTGACCACCTCACGGCCATACCTTTTGGATACCTCGTGGACAGAGCGCCTCCCGCTGCAGGACAAACCACACAAAACAAACAGCACAATGCGCTGAGGAGTTGTGAGGGCAATCGTCCCACCACCGCCACCGCCACCCAGATCAGGATGATTCTCCCCTTTGCCACCACACCCTTGAAATGGCCCGGCGTTGTCCCCTCATGCTCCACTGTTTTGGCCACCATTCGCGTCATTTGGCCTCATCGCATGATCGCGCTCTATCAATGCCAACGACAGCTCAACCCGCAGCGTCCTATTCCTGTTCGTCGTCTCAATCATCATGCAGGCATGCTTCAGAAACGGATCCTTATCCGTCGCGGCGTTGCTCGCAGAGGCACTCGTGCTCCGTTCGCTCCGCGCCGACGCCGTGCTGTATCGTTGCACGCTCCCGGCCCTCCTCGTCACAAGCTCAAGGTTCGCAAACAAATGGGCGTCGGGCGTCAGTCCACCGTCTCGGATCAGCTGCTGCTTCCTGACCTCCGTCAACTCGTCGGTGCTGCTGGCAGCCACAAGCAACAGGAGAAGACGCAGTCACACTGGCCGGGGCATCGCGGCATCCCTCGCCAGGCGCCGCACGCCATCCAGTTATTTCCTGAGGGGTTTGTGCCCAACGGCGATGTCTTGTTCCACCTCCCGCACCTCCGCCAGCCGCTTCTCCCGGTACTGTGCCACAAGCCTCGCGCAAAAAATCGATCTGCAGCGACGGTCTGGCTTGCCTCTCCCGAAACTCCGGCGGAGCCCGCACCGCACTGCCCACCTCCGCAAGCTTGGCCTTCGGCTCCACGCCATGCGCCAATCCCGGGTGATACGCGCGGAGTTTTTTCAGCGCCACCGAAAGCTCCTCCACGCACTGCGCAAGAAAACAATGACGGTACGAGCGCCGGTACACATCTTCCCCACCAATTACTGCCGCTTCAAGTCCACCCCAGACGATTCCTACAGGTCCGCTCATACAAGTTATTCTCCAGCGGCATCAAGTCATCAAGCAGACACTGACATGTGCGTTGGTGCATCAGCGGCGTCACCATGACACAGCCCCAATCAACGATGATCCGCACCGAGTTGCCGCAGCTGTCGGCGCCCCTAAGTGAAATCCGGTTCTTCGTAGCAGAGCCTGGCAAGCCCTCAAAAAAGATCCCGGCAAGCCCATGGCAGATGCTGTCTGTGTTTTGTTGGCAAATGCCGGGCACACTGTTGTTCATGGCGTGAATAGCCGCCACAGGACGTGACGCCGCAACCTCCACAACGGACTCTCGAGTCGGAGGCGACAGCGGCGACAGCAGCTGAGGGAACCCATTCTGCATGCTGAGATGGAACACCAGCACCTCAGGGGCGGTAAAATCTAACACCATGTCCTTGGAACGCATCGCCCTCGGCGCTATCCGAGCCCGCGGGAGTTGCTGAGGAATGCGATGCGGGGTGCACCCGAGCGCAAAGATGTGTACATCCCTGTACGGGTCCTTTGCCATCCAATACTCAACTACGCGGCTCACAGACGCATCCTCCACGGAAAAAGTACAACGCAGGGCTACTCATAATCGGCTGCCTCGGTGTCATGAGGTCCTCGAGTAGCGTCACGCCGTGCTCCATGAAATCATGGAGACGCAGTGACCTGCTCAGCACAGACGCAGCATGGGCATCGCAGAAAAAAACTTTAAACGATCCATGAACGGCGTCAAGCATCTGGTGGAATATATAATCCCGCACACAACCACAAACGCCATTGCTGGGCTCACGCAGCCGCCCGCTTCCTTCAGCTTTGACCGCACCAACCCGCCCCACATAATATGTCAAGTAGAAGCCACACAGGCAATGTGCTTGGATATGCATGTGTGTGTCTTGTGTGTGCACATTCAACTGGCTCCGTTTTTTGTGTATGTGCGTCTCAGAAAATCTAACAAACACACAAGCAATGCCATACTACCATACGGTGGCCCAAATCGGCAATCAACACGGGAAAAGCTGTGTGCATCGAAATACAACCAATCTCAAATAAAAGGTCAAACGGAGCCCATACAGCACATGCATATGGAGAAAGGGACCCATTGAAATGGATGTTTTCCTATTGGACATCCAGTGCTGAGTGCGGGCCACGCAGGAGGAAGCTCAGTCGCCTTGCAGCGCAACGCCGTCCACACCGCAACTCCACAGAGTGTTGCCACGGCGGCAGCAGAGGCAAGCAGAAGAAGCAGCGGACAGGGACAAGCAGCAGCAGCAGCGTCATCACCGGGAGTCGGGGGCGAGGCCTGCTTGCCGTCCGTCTCGCTGCTCCCGTCCCTGCCGCCGAGAGAAGCTTCTTGCGGTCTGTCGGGGCATCCTGGCTGGATCCACTTCTCCTCTGTCAACGGATGTTTCTGAGGAGCAGCTAAGTCGACATCTTTCGGTGGTTTTCCACGGCCGGTCCCAATGCTCTCCGCAACGGGGACAGATGCCCCTGGCAATCCTTCTTCAGTGGATGCCGGTGAAACCGTCCTGCTCCACACGCCCTCTCCTCGCCGTCCCACGGAACCACTGGAAGTAGACTACCGCTGGTGGCGGATATCGTGCACACCTGCGCGTGGTCACGGCAACTAACGGTCCCCCCATCGTACGGCCAAGTGGCCCACGCAATCGTCGCCCCGTCCGTGCATGGAACACAACGGACGTTACCCTCTTCAGCCACTTCCAGATGCAATTACATGCCGAGACACCTCAATGCCGCATGCATGGCAGCACTGAGATGCGTCTCCTCCGTGTCCCTCGCATCCGTCGTGTTGGTGGGAAGCGTGTCCAGTCACCACGAAGAGGGCTCATCCCCAGGCATCGCAGACAAATATTCTCCCCTCCCAAATAACACCCTCAATATCCCTCACATCCAGTGCGGGATCAGTGATGGGGCAACTGTCCATCGGGTGCTTTCCCGACATTTCATGGATACTCCCCAGATACCAACCGCGGGAATACCGGTCCGACGCGCAGCACTTGACGGAAACGCCCAATGCGCAGAGCATGTGGGAATATTCACTCATGTTCGG